TAGATTGTATACTTTCTCAAAACATTGTTTAATCACACAGGTGCATCCTATATAGATTATTTTCATTAATACAAAATATACATTTTCTTTAGGGTTGAGACAGTCTAATCATGTAACAAATGATATACAGCAACAAGCATCCTGTAAAAAATGTTTTTTTTTTTTTTTTCTGTGCATTTATTCCTACAAAAGTTTTGTTCTTAAACAGTTAAACTGTGCCTTACTTTAATATTTATTTTGGAAAATCATAAAACCTTTGCAGAGTGCCCTTCAGAAAAAGTATCTCCCATAAAATGTGAATACCTTTGCAAGATTAGGTTCCTCTTTTACCTAGCATTTGTGTTGCTGTTTCCTCAGGCAATTCATCCATAAACTTACACATTTTATATGCTGCTGTTTCTGAATAAAAGCCCAAAACATTTACAATACACATTTACTTAAATCTGATGGACCATGAGCAGGAGAGGTTCTTGCAAAAAAAGATGAGGTGGTACAGGTCTACATAAGTTGGCCGGTCATTAATTTAGTTGCCATTAGTTTGGTGGACTTGTGGATCCAATCCAGGACAGAAATGAAACTCACCCTCATTAAATTCTACTGTAATGTGTTCCATGTATTTCAGTCTCCCAAAAGGGTAAAATTATTGGTTGTTACCCCCAAAACAGTCAGAAAGCTTAGGTTTACACAGATAGTGCCGAAAAGAAAAAATCAGGACCAGTTGAAATTATTCAGACACAAATTGGTATCTTTGACATATTTATTTGCTAAGTATCAGTTATATAAATCTCTTCATGATTTTTTTAGACCTACTTTCCTTCTTCACTCTTTTTTCTATAATGATCTACCTCTTCCCTCTTTCACTCTGTAGACCCCCCTATGTATATTACCTTTTTTATACTTTTGTTGAAAATAACTGAACTCACATTATGAGATTGTAATCATAGTTACTTTTGATAGCTGTGTTATATCAAGCTATATCAAGTATGAGCTTTGAAAAAAGGAAAATAGTGTCCTTGAATGTTTACATATCCTTCCATTAAAAACAGAAAAAAACCAGATGCCATTAAAATAAATTTAAATGATACATTTAATTTATAATATTTATTTATAATAATAAATAAAATTGGAAATCATGACATTCGATTTGAATATACATTCATCTATCCTTCCATTTTCTCCTGCTTAGTCCTTGTCAGGGTCGCTGTGGGGCCGGTGTCTATGTACGGGCGAGAGGTGGGGTACACCCAGAACAGCATGCAGTCTGTTACAGGGCAATGCAAAGACAGACAAAGACACACAACCATGCACACAAACACACTCACACATAAGTAAAGTCAATTTGGGTAAGAATATGCAAACTCCATGCAGAAAGACCCCGGGCCAGAAATCAAACCCAGAACCTTCCTGCTGCAAGGCAACAGTGCTAGCCACTGCTTCACCATGCAGCCTGTATATATACATATGCATATATCAGTAAATAACACAATTAAAGAAGCCTGATGGGGGTCCTAAATTAAAATTTTGTTGAGCAACACTTTGATTACCTTGCAAGAAAAATAAATCGTGCAGGATTTGTAAATTTATAAACTACCAAAAATAATCTTGCCAGAAGAAAACAGACGCCTTTAGCCTTAACACAGAAATGTTATGGGTAAATGAAATGCAGTGATGTGTATGAAGAGAACGCGTCAACTAGAGCTGGAAGGCAGAAGCAAATCAAATAACTGGAATAATCTTTCTTCTTTTTTTAAAATTAGTAAAAGGACGCAGATTTTGGTTGGAATTACCAGTTAACTCTGTGAACTAAACCAAGAATGTCCCGCGTCGTAACATGCTACTTTGGCTGTGATTGGCTAAAAACTCAACATGGGAGCCCTGTATGAAGCTAAATCGGTTTCAGTTTTCACAAATACACATATGTGATTCATACATGCACATTACAAGATCCACACATGCACAGAAAGATTCACACAAGCACAAAAAAATCAACACACACGCAGCAAAAGATCGACAACTGCACAGCATGATTCATGCAACCACACAAGATCCACACATGTACAGAGGAAGATTCGCCAAAATATTTCTGGTCCATAAACAATTATAAATTAAATTTCATAGTACCAGTAGTCTTTAAACTTCAATGCATTTGTGTGGATTTTTGAGACTGCCCTGACGATACACAAATGCATTGTTTTAAACAGGGGATAGTTTGCCACCAATCACAAAGCTCCCTTGTGTGAGCCAATAACAAGAAAGTACTCCATGTGGGACGACTATCCCCAGATCCCACATCCTCCGCTCTGCCCCACTCTGTTCCAGATAGCGTGCACAAAGCAAAGCATACATCCTTCTCGGTTCCTCCCGTCTTTCTCCGCTCCGACTTCCTCAGAGCTTGAGGACAGCATGCGCTATATTATTATTTAATTCGTAGGAGAAAAACATGCAGTAATGAATGCTCAAATTAACATGACATCATTAAAACTCACCATCAGCATCAATCACACACGTTTCTGTCCAAACATTTTTCTTTTTCGTTGTGGGTCTTTGTAATTAGCCTGGGTGCCATTCCGAACTTTGTCTCGCCCACAACGTTTGAGGTCGGGAAGTTCGGTCTGGCATTGCTTAATAGTAGCGCGAGTATGCTCACACAATATCTGGCGGGCCAATCAAATTGTCAGGGCGGGCTTTATACGATGATGGACAGATGATCAACAGTAACGTAATCAACCACGTCACCAAAGCGCGCTTGGGTGACAACAACAATGGCTGCCGCTGGAGAGTTGAGGTGAGTAGATTCTGCTATTAGGTCTGTTCTAGAAGATATCGACAGCAAATTAATATTAAAAGAGGAACAGAGAAACGCGATCAAGGCTCATCTTCTTATTCTAGGCGTGAAACTGCAGGCTTTGATTTTTGTTGACAACAACTATGCCTCGCTTAACATACGTCCGCACTCCGTTGCTCTTATTGGTTGTAGGTCTATCCAATTGAGTGCAGAGGCATTTTTTTCCTGGTTCGTTCGAAACACGCCCCATAATTACAGCTCTATGGAGCAGTATCAGACTCATATTCTGACTAGAATTGAGTAGGACTACGTCAGGCTACCTTGTAATAGGAATAATCTTACAAAACTGGTTTGTTCTACAAACTCTGCATCCCTTGGTCCATGCTTGAGATAAGAAGTTTGTTTTGAAGTTGTGAGAGGCAGTCTTTGAAGCTGTTGTGACTGGATTTAATGATTAAATATTTTGATGGAGATGAGTAATCTGCTTCCTGGTATGTTGAGGTACCAATAGTTTGCATCCAATAATTTAACTAAACTAAACATTAGTTTTTGGGAACGTATAATAATGCTCTAATTTGTAGTTACCGATGTCCTTACCATATTTTAATTTCACAAACCGTGTCTTCTCAACGTTCTTTTTCCTGTTTGGTGCGATTGGATCTTGACCTGGCCAGACCGTAGCGGAGCAAAAAATAGCTCAGCTCCGTATTTCGATGGTGAAGGACGGAGAAGACATATGTGGACGGTGACATTCGAAAAGCAGTACTGGTGAATGTGGCACAGTTCTTATTGATTAACATATGTGCGGAAGGGGGATGTGGAATCTGGGGGGTAAGTCATATCACGTGGAGTAGTTTCTTGTGACTGGCTTATCAATGGAGCTTTGTGATTGGAGGCAAACCATCCCCTGGGAAAAAATGCATTTGTGTATCAAGGTCAGGAGAGTCTCAAAAATCCACACTAAAATGCAGTGAGGTTTAAAGACTACTGGTACTTTGTAATTTAATACATAATTGTTTATGGATCAGAAATACTTTGGTGAATCTTGTGTAGTGCATGTGTGTATCTTGTGTGCTTGTGTGAATAGTTCTGGTCCTCTGTTGATCTTGTTCTGTGCATGTATGAATCACATATGTGTATTTGTGAAAATTTAGACCGATTTATGCTCCATAGACATGTACCCAATCAGCTCCAAGAATTGTACTAAATATCCTTCACTTTTGCAAACATTTTCTACAGGATCCTTTCCAAATTGATACAGTAAAGAATTCAAATTTATCTACACATATCCAAATAGCTTACGCCAGGTTAACACTTTGAGGCAATCACTGAAATCAATATTTTATTTAACTAAATTATAATTTTGTAAATTCTTAATTGCTCATACTCTAATTAGTTGTACTCGTCGTCTTACAATTCAAATTCCTCTACTAACTTGCACAAAAGTCCTGGAATGAAACATTGTTTGGGTTCAGAGCTGGGACATCTCTTTAAAACAAACCCTTGCAGCTTTCCACTTTGTAGAAATGCTGCCAATATAGTGCTATTTTATATCATCAGATGGATAGTTAAAACAAAATTGGAAATCTAATACTTCTTCATGAAACACCAAATTCAATAAGAAAGGGTGATTTGAAGTAAAAACTATCCTGTTTAATTGGTTGTTTAATACCATAATCTTAGAAAGTTGATGTGTAATTTATCTGAACTTTATAGATAGAGTACACTTTCTTTTCTTGAAAAACAGCAAGAATAATAATTTCTAAAAATATCGAATTTGTTCTTTTCTTATCTTTCAGGTAGACACCTATTGCACAATCAGACTGCTGTATAAGTTTGAAATATATTACAAAAATGGGAAATGTACCATCAGAAGCGAACATGGGCAACAGCCTGAGATGCATTAGGTGCAACAGAGTCTTGCCTCCGTGTAGGTCCTTTGACCATTTAAGACAAGATACAATACATGGGCAACATGTTCATGTGTTCAATGGAGGGGAATACTACAGACGAGTTGGGTATGACAACCAATATCAGTGCTCAGATTGCTTTTATAAGGCAATCAGAGATGATGAGCGTAGAAGGGAAGAGGAAGAAAAAAGAAGGAGAGAGGAAGAAAGAAGGAGAGAGGAACAGAGGAGAGAAGAAGAACGTAGGAGAGAAGAGGAGAGAAAAAGACAGGAGGAAGAAAGGAGAAAGGAAGAGGAGCAAAGGAGAAGGGAGGAGGAGCAAAAAAGGGCAGAGGAGGAGAGAAGAAGACAAGAAGAACAAAAAAGGAGAGAAGAGGAAAGACAGAAAGAAGAGATGAGTCAAAGAGTACAGGAATCAAGGGAACGAGCTACAGAGCAGTACGAGAAACAACAGAGAAGCAGACAAGAACATCAGTCCAAACATAATGTTCTGATTGGGCATTTGGATGAATTTGAGAGGGACTATAAATCCTTTAATGGGAAAGATGAGTTTGTAGAAATCCTTTCCCTCAAATGTAACATTGATGCTTCAGATCTCAGTCTCACCACCCCAAAAGCTGACCTGTTAGGGAAGATCCTGTCAGCTCTTGACGATTTTCTGTTTGATGAATGGATAAAGGATCCCCCATCCAGCAGCACTTTGCAGCACACTCAGGTTTACATCACAGAGCTTTGTGCGCTGTATGTGGAAGTACCAGAGGATGTTTCTCGACAAAATATGTCAAATCATGTGCAGTCTTTGGTTGGGGCCATCAGCCAATCAGCATGCAGCATATCTGAGACTCTAGCATTGACTCAAGCTTTGTACGTCACTCTAATGCACTACATCAGTGAAAATGACAGGTCTGATGCTGATGCAGTCATAATAGCAAAACAATGGGGTAAAGAAGAGCTCACGATGAAGCATCTTTTTCCCATTGAGTTCCTGAGCCTCCTCATTGTGTCCTTGCATAATACAGTTAGCAAAACATCTACTTTTATTTTAAAAATGGAAATCCAGTGTTTGAAACTTCTAATGTCCTCTTTAGTCAACCTGAATGACAAAGAGAGCCACTATGCATCAACTGACTTGATTCTTGGACTTGTCGAAAGAGACCAATGGACACCAATGGAGGCAGTAAATCTGCTAAAAGCTATGTCATTGAAAATCACAGAGGATGTTTTAACAGCTAAAGTGCTAACTTTGGTTGAAGTTTATGATGTATCACCAAGCTGGACAGATGATTCTGGATCCTCACTCATTCAGGCTCTTGAAGGTGCTAATTCAGAAAGTTTCTATCAGGATTTCCATGACATTCTCAAAAAGAAAGACGAAAGCAATCTAGATGTCGCTCTGGCCAACATTAAATTGTCACAGAAGTTGGATGATGCCAAGATTAATGAAATAAAAACCGTAGTCTCAGGTGCTGCTCTTCTGTTTTCAGAAAATGCTACCATAGGATCTTTCAAACTTGAGGAATTTGAAACAAAGAATTTACAGACCTGCCTGTCTCAGCTCTGCAGAGCAGTTTTTGACATCAAAGGCTGGTATCCTACAATGAAACACATGGTGCAGTGGTGTGTGTTGGTCCTAACTGGGAAAAATTCAGTACCACAGCTGGTTTCTGATGAAGAGGACCCATGTGTCATTGCCATGTTTGCTGCTACACATTTCTACATGGGGAAAAAAAATTAACATTATAATGAACTCTGAAAGTGATAGTGAAGACCAAGCTAAAGAGTGGTATGACTTTTACAAGAGCCTTAACATTTCTGTCAGAACAAACATCAGGAAAGAGAATGATTACCCTTTAAAGGAGATATTTGAGGCTGATGTCATCTATGGTACACTTAAAGACTTTGTGTCTGACTACGTTCTATACTGGAAAGAGGTCATTTCATCACAAATCCCTCACCTTGCAAGGATATTCATCATTGAGGAAAAATGTATAGTTGCATCACATACTCTGGATCTGCCAAGGCTCAAGGATATTGATTCCCTTTCTTCTGCTGCCAAAGTTCTACAAACACTGGCAGGAAAATTCTACACAGAAGACTTGGAGCAGAGAGCCGGTTTTATCAGGGCTGTTTTTCAAGCCCTACAGTCAAACTTAAAAGAAGGTACAAGCACCAAGGAAAAAATATCCAACATCCTTGAGAAAATGATTGGAAAGGAACTTCTTCCTAAAGAGTTGTATAGTCTAACTTTTCTTGAGAATCTGCTGCAAGCGGTTACCAATGAAAAAGAAGCTAACAAAAGAATTACGTCTTCTGCTGAAAAATGGTGCTTCGACAGTATATTGGTTGCTTCAGAGCAAATTAAAGACTTAAATAAACAAACCAAAGAAGTCTTGCAGATGGTTTCAAACCTGGGACAAAAAAATCTCTGGTCACCACTGGAACTCCTAACCCTCCTTGGAGCATTAATTGGGCACCATCATAATGAGGGCTGTGTGTCCATCATGAAGATTTTACATTTAATGGAAACATATCAGGTATCTTCCAAATGGACAGATGAGAACAACCAAACTGTCATTAGTCTGTTAAAGGCAAGCAAAACAGAGAATCTGATTCAGAATTTAGAAAAAAGTCTTGGAGATGAGAAAATCAAAAGCATCGACATCCTTTTTGATGAACTAAGGCAGAAGAAAGATATTGATGAGGAAACGCTGACTAAATCATATGAAATTGTTTCTTATGTAACAGACCTGATCAACACTGGAGAAATAGAAAAGCACAATGACATAAAAAAAGCTAAGCAACTCAGTCAAAGCATGGAAACAGTAGATCTTAAGGAGGTATTGGCAGTCTTATGTAATGTCATCAACCTGAAAATTGCCAAAGGGAAATGGTGGCCAAGAATCAATCAGATGATAAGCTGGTGCCTCTTGGCCTTGTCCAACACTGGAACGCTCCTAGAAATGGGAACTGGAGAAGGAAAGTCTTGTGTCATAGCAATGTTTGCAGCACTCCGTGTGTTCAAGGGTGAAAAGGTAGATGTGGTGTCAAGCTCATCTGTTTTATGTCAAAGAGATGCTGCAGAATTTAGCAACTTCTATGAATACTTTGGCATTACAGTTGACACAAACACAAATAAAACTGAAGACAGCAAACGAAAAGAGTGCTATCAGATGGACATTGTCTATGGGACAATCGAAGCCTTTGCTGCTGATCACCTTCGCCAGATATTTGAGATGAAAGATGTGAGGCCCAATCGCAGCTTTCAGTGCATCATTATTGATGAAGTGGATTCTCTACTGCTGGATCAGGGAGTGCAGCTGACTTACCTATCCAGCCCCATGGTCTCCATGGAGCATATAAACTCTGTTCTGGCCATGATCTGGGGCCATGTCCAGCAGTATGGATTCCTGTCTTCGGGACACCAGTCATTTGTTCAAGGTCCTCCTGCATCATTCTTTAGGGCCATCTTTGATTCAATCAACACAGAAGAAACTGAAATTGAAGATCCAATGGACATTTTACGTATTGCTGAGGAAAGCAACTCTGTGCCACAGGGATTTACAGATGATATCCATAAAGGTGGCAAGGACGATATTCTTAAAAAGCTGAAAATTGTGAATCAGGATGCAATGATAAAAGTTTTTCAAGAAATGGAGGACTATGTTCCATATGGTTTCACCATTTACACATTAAATAATGAGGGACTGCTCTGTCTGAAAAAACTCAGTCCATACAACACAAATCAAATTCCAGACCTAAAGTTCCTTGTCTTAGATGAAGGATTGTGTTGTCCTCTCTATGACTCAGAAGAAGTTCTCATCAAGCCCATTGCAGAATTTATCTCTGAGAAGATTCAATACACTCCATGCCCAAACAATATAGAGAAAATTAACATTCCTGGTTTTTTGAGGGATCTCATTGAAAAGAAAATGCCGTTGTGGGTAGAGAATGCCTTTCTGGCTAAGCAGCTCAGGGAGGGACAAGACTATGTGGTAGAAAATGATAACATCTGTCCAGTGGACTTCAGATCTACTGGTATTATTGAACTGAATAAGAAATGGGGTGATGGCCTGCAACAGTTTGTGGAGATTAAGCACCAAATAAAGCTGAGCACAATTTCAGCAGTGACAAACTACATTTCTAATATTGCCTTTTTTCAAAAGTACCAGGGTAAGATATATGGAACCACAGGGACACTTGGAAGTGAAAAGGACATTCTATTTCTGCAGGATCTTTATCCAAACCTGTCTGCATGTAGAATGCCAACATTCAACAGAAAGAAACTGTATGAGGTCAAAGGAATTCTGAAAACAACTTCTAAAGAGTGGAAATCAGAGATAAAACAAGTTGTAATGTCTCAAATTTCCCCAAACTCATACAGAGAGGGAAGAGCTGCCCTGGTGATCTGTGAAACCATCAACAAAGCCAAAGAGATTTATGAAGAACTGAAAAGCACCATCCCTGGTGAAATCATCCTTTACTGCCGCAGTGACAAAGACAGTTTGAGTAAAATAGAAAAGGAGCTTGTTCCTGGTGATGTTATTGTTGCCACAAACCTTGCTGGACGTGGCACTGACATTAAAGTCTCCAAACAGGTAAATAGAAATGGAGGATTATTTGTTGTTCTGTCCTTCCTTTCTGAAAACACCAGAGTAGAACTCCAGGCTTTTGGTCGAACAGCACGCAAAGGAAAACCTGGATCTGCTCAGATTGTCACATGCAGTGAACACCTGCCACATGATTTCAGCACAGCAACATCTCTGGAGGAGGCCAAGAGCGCAAGGGACAGACTTGCTGTAGAAAAGATAGACTATATGATGAATGAGGTGACTGAAATGAATCTGCGGGAGGAGCTGTTTTCAGAGTATTGTGAGACTCTTCATGATATTTACAAGAAAACAGATGGCGATGACAGAAAAGTTATTGTTGCTGTCATGAATGAGTTCTGGGGAATATGGCTGCAAATCAAATCGGAGGACATTGAGAAGCAGAAAAAAAATGAATTGCAGCAAAGTCTGAAAAAGGATTTGTCCTCAGCAAGACAACAGTCTTCATCTAAAACTTCACCTTGCTCAAGTATCTATCACTACATTGATTTTGGAAATATTTCTTTGGATGAAAAAAATTGGACAAATGGTGCTAGGCTGTTTGAAAAGGCCATGAATCAAGATGAAACTTGGGCAGCCATTGCTTTTTACAGTCATGCATATTGCACTATAAAACTGTCTGATGGAGATTACCTCACAAAAGCTAAACAAGATCTTCAAAAGGCACAAGAATCCCTAAAGTATCTGAGTGAAGAATGCATGGTCTGTTTGCAGTTCATAAAAATGGTCAATGTGGACTCGAGCAAAAATGACCCATCCAGCCTTGAAAAACAGATAACAACTAAGTGTAACATGTACAGGTTCTTGGATAAAAACATTTCTGAGGCTATAGAAAAGCTGGATGAAATCAAAGGCAAGGGAAGGGATGCTGAAGCCAAAAAATCTCCTGTTTACTCCTTGGTGTCAGATGCTGATGAAGATCTTCAATTAGAAGCTGATAACCTTTACAGACGTGGTCTAAAATATGTTTTTGCTGTTGAGGAAAAACCTCGTTTCCCATGGGAAGGTCTGCTGGTTTTCTTGCTTGGAGTAATGCAGATTATTGCAGGAACACTGCTCACTGTATTCACAGTTGGTACTTTGGCTCAAATTGGAATGGGACTAATCGCTGAAGGAATATCCGACTGTATTGAAGGTATTACAGCAATGGTGACAGGAGAATTCAGCTGGAAAGAATGGGCTATTGGGAAAGCCATTTCAATTGGTGTTTCTATCATATCATTTGGAGTTGGAAAAATAATTTCAAAAGGATTTAAAGCTGCAAAAGCAGCAATTAAAGCTGTAGGTAAAAAACTGAAGGCATTGCCAAAGTTTCTCTCAAAACAAGCTAAAAACAGTTTAAGCACTGTCACAAGAACAAACCTGAAGAATGCCGTAAAACATACAGCAAAAACGATTGTTGAGGAAACACTGTTCTATAGCCTTGAGAAAGCAGAGGAAAAAATGTTTGAAGAAATTTTAAACAGCATCAAAGCAGAGGTAGCAAAGGGAGTTGTTAATGACGTGAAAGCCAATCTTAAAAAAGAACCCCTGGCTGCGTTAGTGGATACTGTTATCCTCTCACACCTCCTACACAGAGAGCGACTACAATATCTCCTGGAAGATGACAAAAGTAAGAAAGATCTCCTTTCCATTTACGAGAAGTTAGGAAAGTCTGCACTACAGCCATTTTATGCAGACCTTACTTGGCAAAACAAGCTTGAATCTTCAATTATTAAGGTGCTGGACAGCGCTAAGGAAGGAACACATGGAAAAATGAAAACAATTTTGACTGCTATTCAAACTACCCATTATGCCATTCTGGCAAGAGATGCCATCGGTGAAGTGCTCACCCTCTCCAGCAAGTTCTTTTCAAACCTTGAAAATGAACTGAAAACATTTAACGAAGACAAAACTGAAAAAGTAAAGCGAAATGAACTAACTTCCTCTGAAATTGACATGGTTGACAAATTCAAGCAAGAGCTGGCTGACACCCTCAGCACGTTACTGGCCGAGGCTTTGGTCGATGTTTTCAATAACAAGTTTTTTAGTCACCTTGTTTCTCGTGCACAAAACAAAGCACACGAATCTATCAAGAAACATGTCAGATCTGGTTTAAAGAGTGAAAGGACAGAGGAAAAACTTAAAGCTGGACAACACAACAGCTACATAGCAAACATGCCAGTAAATGCAAATGCCAAACTTGCTGGTAAACTTTCAAAAGCTCATGCTGAAAAGATCAAGAATAAGAACACTCCTGGTACCCTTCTTGATATCAGAGTCCTGTCGGAGGCTACTGGTACAAGAGTTGTTATTCTTACAGAGAACAAGCATGGCAAACTCACCAAAATGCAGGAAGTTAGTCCAAGCACTAAATCTGTCAGTGAAACAGTGACTTTGATCTACAGGCCTAAGGGCACTGAACATCCTAATGGCCATTATGATGTGTCAATCAACAATAAGACAGTGAACATAGACAGCAAAGGAAAGAATTCTCTTTTTCATGCTTTGGCAAGAGGCATGAAACCAAAAGCCACTGACTCAGAGATTGCTTCAGAGGCAACCCGTCTCAGATCTGTGGAAGCCGACACTCTCCTGAAACAATCTGGACAATGGGAATCTTTCATGAAGCGTAAAGAGTTGACTGAAACAATCAGAGGAGGAGACTGGTACATGGCAGAGGCAGGCAGACCAGAGAGAATTATAAAAGAAAACAAACCGTTTCTGCAGAAAGTAACTGGAAAGATTAAACAGTACAAAGGATATTTTCAAAAAACAGTTATTCCAACAGTTGAAAAAAATGTCAGTGCAGATAAGCAGCCTTCAGGCAGCAGCATAGTGGGAGCTAAAAAACTGAACAAGAATAGCAAATTAGCCATGGCAATGCTGCAAGTGAGAAAAGATACCAACACAGCATCTGGTTTGGAGAAACAACCAGCTGATCGCAACCTTAAAGATACAATTGATGACATTTCTTCTCTTGAGCTGAAAGCTTTGAGATCATGCTTGGCTACCATGATAAGCAAGGATGATGTTGTTGGAACCTTTAAAGTCATGACTTTTGGTGCAATGTTCAGATGCCAGCTGAGTAACACCAAAAATGTAAAAAACAAGAAGAGTAAAACCCGGACTGCCATGTTTGAAAAAAGTTTTCAAGAGTTCAGTACACAAATGGTGCAGCAATGGTACAACATGCTTCAAGGAAAGGGTGTCATGACCAAAGATCATCTTACCACCATCACGGAATGGATCAACAACCAGGGCTACAAGAATCAAAATGATCCATACAGGAAACAATTGTCCAGAGTCCTTTCATAGAAAGGTAAGTTGAAAGATAAAGTATACAAGAAAACCTTTGTAATTTTGCTGAGAAAATATTTAAGCTACTTCTAACCAGTAACCATTTACAGTACTTCTTTCTAATAAGTGCCAAAAAACACACAAAGCATTTTTGAATAATTATTCAAAATTAGACTACAGATATATTTGATGGCTGTGTCTACTCTGTAAATAGTTCATTTTGATTTGTTCATCTTGGCAACTGTTCAGATTAAGAAAGGTTATTACCAACTGTTCTGGCTCACTGGTAGTGCCAGGAGTCTAAACTTCGTAAAATACATATTATAAGTACTCTATTTACAATCAGGGATAGGAAGAAGGTGGTCTCAGAATCATGGATATTGATATCTGTAGACAATTCTGACATTACGAACTTATATAAACCGTTAATAGTTAAATTACGTTTAATAAATGGATAGTTTTAAAGTACTTGGCCAAAAATATTGTCCGGCTGATGTTTCTGTTTATGTCTACTTTGCATCAGTATAGAATTAATGCCTTAATGTCAAAACAGAATTTTACCTGATTGTTGAATGACAGACATTTGTTTTTATGGCACAGCATTTTCAATTCTGTTAAATGTAATAGTTGCTTTATGCATCTTTGTTGCCTTTACTACAGATTGCGTAATCTTCCTTTTCTCTAAAGCAATGCTTTTACCACTTATGTGCATTTCCACTCTTAGGCTACTAGTCTTCACCTGTGAGCGATTAGCCAAAAAACTAGATTTTAACTGAGAATGTATTTTGTGTACATCTTAACTTACCAAATTGTCTGTGTTTCCTTTACAGTAAAAGCCAGGATGACGTTGATTAACAAGAATAGAAACTACACAACTCTTCCACCTGCCTGATCATCACCATTATGTATCATCACCTTAACAGGCTCTACAGCACATGTAAAAGTCAATGCCTGCAATCTCTCAAGAGCCAAAAAAATATAATGCTAATGTCAAATTGAGGCCTATATTACTTCAGAGTGTACAGAAGGATTAAAACTGCTAAATAGAAACAAAGAAAAGTTAAAATAACAGAGTTCTTTCATGCACGTTGGGCCAGATATAACAAAAAGTTGTTATACCCCACTTTACAGGTAAAATATCCATCCATTCCTCTTCCATTAGCCAATAAACCTTAGTAATAATTTTGGACTGTGGAAGAAAGCCAGAGTACCGAGAGAAAAAGGGGCAACATATCTGGAATCCTCAAAATACGTTTTTTTTTTTTTATCTTATTACTTTATACAACTGATTAGGCACTTTTGATTTTTAGAGGAATCTGATTGATATACAAATCGTTAAATAAAGGTTTTAAATGCATATAGATGCATAGTTTGAATATATTTTTTTACTTGATTGCTTTGGTTTTTGTAGGTTTAAGACAGATCATATTAAGATAACATGGATGATAAGTGATAAGTCAACCTTAAGTAAAAACTATTTTAAAGTACAAAGTGAGTCAAATTTAAACAAATTTTGTTTGATGCTTTGCTTTATGTAAAAATAGAAAAACGAGTTTGCTGTAATGACTTCATATCATAATAACAACAAGTTAATGTGCCTGCTTTTTGGTGCCATTATGGACTTTAATGTGTTCCAAGTATAGTTATGCAATTTATGTCTTTTTTTCAAGTTTTATTAGCTTTTAGTTCAGATGTTAGTGATCTATGGGTATTGGGAAAACTCTTGGGTGGGAGTGTGTTTTTCGGTCATTATATTAGCTTAAAATATTAAGATCTGTGTTATTTTCAGGTTTAGATGATATTTTGGTGTTTTGCTTGATTAATTGTGGTGATGGTTATAACAAGACATTATTGTGGTTTCATTAAAGTGAGGTACTAAGGAAAATATATATATATCCAGTGTTTTATTATATCAGCATTAAATTTGATTCCTTACTTTTTCTGTGTTTCAGAGAACATGTAGTAGAATGTTGTAGACTAACTAAAGGTAATGGATAATGTTTGTATGGTTTTTGCCATTAAATGTTAAAATGTTAATGTTAAAACTGTTTTTAAAAGAAGCAAAAATTATAATGTTCTGCCTAGTATGAGAAAAAAAAATCCTAGATCTTTGCATATAGTAATTATAAAGCCAAGAAATTTGAAAAAAAGATATGTTTAAGATTCTTTTTATCATTTAACCATTATTTGCTTGGTTTCTTTTATTTTGATATGTAATTGGAAATAAAAAAAAACTATGGAAAGTTACAGTATGTCCACTTGATAAAGCCTGTTTTTTTTTATATTTTTTCTTTAAGTTCATAGCGCTGATCTGCTAGAAACTTCATATATTTTTTGTAATCCTTTCAATTTTGGCTGGGTTGTTGAGGTATAATAAAAGTTGCATCTTTAAAACTGACTTCAACTGTCCTGTTTTTCTGAGAGGGGTGTTCTCACATTTCAACCTGGAGAAACTCACACAGAGAAAAGCAGCAATTGGAAAAGTATTCAATTTATTTATACAGGTATCACAATCATATTCCTCAAAATATTTCTATCTAAGGAAAACCAGCGACGACTCATTGACTCTCTGCAGTCCCTCGCACTGAACATGCATTCAGTGACAGTGGAGAGGAAAACTCCCTTTTAACAGGAGAAAACCTTCAGCAGAACCAGCATTAGTGTGAGCTGCCTTCTACCGAGGCCAACTGGGGTTCAAGGAGACAGAAGCTGATAAAAACCATAAATTAAATAAGTACTTTGGCGCACGGGCCCCTGCAGAAGTCTTTGAAGCTGTGAATCAATGTACGCTTGGATGAGTAATCTAGAAAAGGATTAGGGTAGTCTTCACCTAGGGCCTGGACATTGGTGGTAGAATAAGCCAGAGGCTGAGGGGGAATGTGAGTTGGAGGTGGGTGAAGGTTCCATTGTGTGGAGACAGAAGCTGGGCCGGGAGCTAAATGAAGGGGATCTTGACAGCTCATTGGTTTGGAGGAGATGTGGTCCTTACAATGACTTCCAGATTGAATTTTAGCTTAAGCTTAATTTCCTTAATAAGGCTTGTAGTATTTAGTTCATTTTTTATTTTGTTCAATTCTCCATTGTCATATATATATACAAACATTTACCTTATATAACCCTCTCTTGATATTTGAACTATTTAGTTTACTCTAAGGTGACCAGGTTTCTGCAATCTAATCTGGGGACATTTCCACCTCCTTCATAAACATAATCAATTTTCATGAAAATTAAAACAGTATGCTTTCATCCATTTTACATATTTATTAATATTTAAACAACAGAAATCAAGTGTAAAATCTAGGAATGCGCCTCTTCATTATCAATGTCCTTCATGGGGCCTCAAATTCCTGCCTGCTCTGTTTTACTCTTCTAAGTACAATTATCTTCCTTCTGTTCAACTGATCCTCCCATTAGTGTTCCATCAGTTTTCTAAACTTCTTCCTCTCCTCTTCTATCAGTCTTGCACTAATACTGTATAAAACAGGGACATAATACAATCAAAACCCCTTCCCAACAAATACAATTTCATGATATATATTATGATTACTCTAATTATGTTAATTATTATTATTGCTAACCTGATTATATACTAAAAAGGCTAATCACCACAATATTTGGAATTACAGTTAAAAACTACATAATCAATTACCATTAAACAGCTGTTTATCTCTTCTTCCATCATTCTTAGATCTTGCAGATCTTTTCTCATTCAGTTTTACTTTTACTGGCTCTTTTTTTATATAATGAGGAACTTTCATATATCCAAACTGAGTGGTATAATGGTAGACCTAAGCCTAGAAGTCTATGCTCATAAATCACAACCACAAAATAGCTAAATGTATAACTCTACTTATAATAATCAACAATCTGAAGGCATAAACTAAAGGTCACCAGTTCTGAAAACATCTTCAGATGAACCCTTGTTGATTCTTGGAGAACCACAAAACCAGATTAGGGCCTTACAAGGAGTTTTCAATCATTCTGTTTAATGAGTCTATTTCCTCATGCCAGCTGCAGCCAATGGTCTGTCTTACTTTTTGTTGATTAGCCTGGTTTATGATACATGACTGTTCCTCATCTTTACCAAAACAAAACACATCAAATACCTTTTTTTTTTCAATGAACCTGGGTATGAACCAAACATTTATTACAATGATCAGCCCAATCCAAATCAAATGAACCGATTAACACTTTCACCATAACTTAGGGCAGCGACCGGTCGTCATAGAGTCTGTTTTAAAGTGCTGCGCTCTGCTCCTCATCTATACGTTAACAGCTGCAAGTCAGCCATTTAACAGTTGTTTCTGTGTGCAGCATGGTTGCACGCTCTTTCTACTGTAATAACAGTCTACACGCAAAATTCTCCCCCTTATTCTTAAAACAGTAAATAGGGGACATTTCCTGGGACACCTTTAGCCAGGGATAGGTGGTCCAAAACGGGGGCTGTCCCTGGAAATTGGGGACATCTGGTCGGCGTAGCTTACTCTTTTTCATTTTACTTTGAGTTATTTGTGCTAGTTTTCTTACAATCATAAAAATAAAAAAATCTATTGTATAATTTCTGGTAGCTGTTACTATGGGACAATAGTTTTATGTTTATGAAACAAAGATTTGACTATCTTTGAAGTTGAAAGCACATGCACAAATAAAAAAGTTGAGTTGTACAAGGTGTCTAAAATGGTGGCAGTTATTTAATTTATTGCTCGGTTAACATGACAGAACTAGATCTGCAAATACAATATATGCTTATCATTCCTGGATATAAGGCAATATTCCTTTCAGACCTCAAAAACAGCCTGAAGCAAGATAGGTTGTGCAGGAGAGAAAAAAAAAAGCCAACTAAACGTTACATGAATTGCCCAATGGCTTTAAATAATGCCATTTAAATAATGTGTGCTTTCTTTTCATAATACGTGTTAAAGCAGGCACACAGATGTTTTCCAAGAAAACCAAGTCTAGGCACCACACAACTTATTAAATTTCAGAAGAATTTTGTCCTTCAGTAAATTCCTCCCTAACACTTTTCAGAATAGCACGACTTCAAGCTACCCTTGCATAGATATGCAATTTTCATTGAGCATGCAATATTTTAAAGGGTCAGCTGCTTTGTTAAGAAAGGGCTTTAATGAACTTTTTTTTTAAAGGAAACCCCCCAGAAAAGATTTCTGATTAAATCTAATCAGGTCTGATTAAATTTATATACCACTTATACCACAATGATGACTCATCATTAATCTGCTCTAACATCTCAGTTTTTTTGAGAGGGTGTTTATACTGTTACGTATGACCAGTGATGCATAAATCCACAGCATGGGCAACTAACTCACTCTTATGAAACCTGATGAACATTTTAACTAAAAATGTTTTCTGTTTGTGCAGTTGATAGCTGAGAATTACAGGGTTACTATTACAATATAAGAAAAATTAATTGTAAATCTGTTTAAGTGGTTATTTTACAAAAAAAAATAAAATGTTCAATAAACTTTTTATGCCTAGGGATTTATCTATAGCTAGGTGCAATGGAAGTAAAGGAGGAGCAACTTGTATGTTCTTATTTCCACCAGCCACTGGCCTGAAGGTGTAAGGCATTTTCATTCAGGCAAATTTTTGCAGGGCTTCCAAAATAATGGGAAAGCATGCTGCTCAACTACATTGAATCACCTATCCCAGGGCCTTCAGTGAAAAGGGGCTGTTTTTTTAATAATATGACCCTAAAGTGAGAAAGATTTAACCTGATATTGTTTAACAGGGCTCTTTTTTTCGGAGATGAGATTTTTTTACAACTCAATTGAAAAGATACAAATGAGATGAGCTTAAATCATTTTGATTTTACGATTATAGAAGTATCAACATGTAATTATCACTTTACTCAACATCTAACGGGAATTTCAAATCAGATTTTCTAGCAGTTATTCAGTATTGTGTCTGCTATACAGTTTCGGATGTGCATTATTAATTGAAGGGGGAAACAGAATTCATTTCTGCACTGACTAGGTAAAGTCTAAAAGCACCGGTGTTTATTTAGAACTTCAGACTAATTTAACTTATTTCTGACAAAAAGATACTCCCAAAACAGCCTGGAATAAGCTGTTTAAGAATTCTGCCATGATAAATATCAGCTTACAAATGTGAGCCGCAATACTAAGAAATACTAAAGTATGGAAATAAGAGAAGTTACCAATTGTAAGTGGATGACATATACTAATCAATATGCTCCTAACTGGTAGATGACACCATGACCTGTATTTCAGATAAGATAAATGAATGACATGGTACTGGCAGTGAGATATAAATAATTTTTATTACCCAAAGCAATGGCTATCCAACTGGGGTAGAACAAAATCTTGTAATAATTTGTCTACAAAGTTTTAACTGTGTTCATCTGCTGTTTCTGGGCCTTGAAATTTGCCTGGCCAGCGAAAGCAATTTGAATGGTAGGCAAATTTGCCAGAAGGGCAAAAGGCTCCCTAATTGTTGTGCACTTTTGTACTACTGTACAATCCAAGAAGATTAAAAACACATAGTTTTACAGTTATTATGAGCTTGAATATATAATTCATATTAGGCTTGTCCCTATCCGATCCACGTATCGGATCGGGACGCCGATATTGGCAAAAAAATGCGTATCGGCAAAGCATGTAAAATGCCGATCCAGACTGCCGATCCAGTTTTTAAAAAAAAATCTGGTCCGTATTTTCCAGTTTCGCCGATTGAAACGATCCATTCATCTATTTTGCGCCAGTGTTCCCCTGTTTTGCATTTTTATTAAAACTTACAGTAATACTTGCACCTTTAACTGTTTACGGTTTTACTGCTCACTGTGCAATTTCAGATTGCTATTCATAATTTTGTCCAGTTTGTGTTTATCTCTTAATAAACAGATAAGTTTGTTGTTACCAAGCATTGTGTTTTATTCAATCTCACCTAATTTAGCTGGCTAGATGTTATCAAGAGTACTAAAACCCTTTTCAACATGAGTCTTACAACTAAGGCTAAATACTTTAACTTAAACTTAAATACATGCTTGGATAGGCTGGTATCGGCCAGTATCGGTATCGGATCGGAAGTCCAAAAACAATATTGGTATCGGATCGGAAGTGCAAAAACCTGGATCGGGACATCTCTAATTCATAGATTGCATTTTTAATAACCAAACACACACATATGACACTGATTCAAAGTTCATTTTAAATTAATACATCTAATATTAAAACCCTTCTAGATTACATGACCCAAGTGAAGAACAAATGCCCAACAAAAAGTAGTAGATTCCCTTGTCTGTTTTCAGAACCACATTCTTCTCCAAAACCGTTAACTCTTGGACAGTTGAAGATATTTAAAAACTCCAAAACGTATCAGAAAGCAGAGAAAAAGACTTGCGACCCTACAATTCTAATC